AAATCCCAAATCCCAAATACTAGTAATTTGGGATTTTGGCATCCCAAATCCTAAATGATTTGGGATTTGGGCAACACATATAAGCTCAAGGTATTCAAATTGGTCAGTTAATAGATCATTTCAGGCGTGAGTTTCCCACCATTACTGCTCAAAAATCGGAAGTACTATTTCAAACTTTAGTTCAAGGCTCTGAACCAGTAAATCGTTTCTATACGAAATTGAAAAGATTGGTTAAGCTTGCATATCCAACACTACCAGAGACGAATCAAGATTTAATGATTAGACAGCAATTTTTTAAAGGGATTTCGAATGAAAATAAATTGGAACTAACTCACATTGGTCTTGAAAATTCACTTTCTACGTTATTACCGAAATTATAAGAAATTGAAAGGAGGAAAGCCGAATTGACGTTAGGTGGGTATAATCTTGAATCTCACCCCGTTACTTCTCGATCGCGATCTAAAGCTAGTACAAAAGATCCTTATATATTAAGTAACACAAATATGAGTAAAGACGAAATGGAAAGCTTTGTAAAATCTATTATAGCTTCTACACAATCTCAGCAACCACAGGTCCAGCAGTACCAGCAAAGACAATCCAATTCTGATAATTATCCTAGAGTATTGGATAAATATATGCCAGAGAGGCCTCCAGATGGGTATGGGGTAAATTCTGAAAGGTACATTCATGCTGATCTTACAAATCCAACTCCTTCAGCCAGTCAAATTACAGAATCTCTAGTCAACGATCTTTACAAAAAATTATCAGATGAGTTCTTGAAGAAAAATGGAGGGAATGGTTCAAAGAATATAGAAGTTGACTCCGATGAGGAACTGGCCAATCTCACAAAAAGGCAATTAAAAATAAATATAGCTAAACAGGTCAATAAAGTTGTAAAGAAATCGTCCCAGCATAGATGTTCGAAATGTGGTAGAACCGGCCATAATTCTCGCAATTGTAAAAATAAAAAGAAGAGCAAGTCTAGCCGTTCTAGCAAGAACAAATTCAAGAAGAAAGCTAAGATTAATAAGGTTACTGTAGATTCGAGTTCTGATTCAGGTTCGGATACTAACTCTTCTGATAATGAATCTGATTCGGACACTGACTCTGGGGCGGAATCTGATTCTGGAGAATCCTCAGCTGGTTCTGAAACGAATTCCGATTTTAAGGGTGACTTAACTAATGCCAAAATCACGAAACTTATCAATACTGCCAGATCAAAAAAAAAGTAAAGCAGAAGGGCAATTCGAATAGCAGAGCTAGTGCCAAGACACATAAATCGTCGTCTAAAAAGAAGTCCAAATCACGTAAAACGAAAAAAGACACTTCTACCCCAGCTAAGTCTCGAAATAAATCGACTATTATTGGCCGTGCCAGCTCTGCTGATAAGTCTCTCCAAAAGATTGTATTAGAAATGTTTGATGGCATTGCACCCGTAGATTGGATAGAGAAACTCAAGGTTAAAATTGAGAACTTATCCGATATGTATTCATCTACCAAAAAATCTGATTTCACAAATTATAGAGAACCAGTTCAAGAAATACCCGATTCGGATAGGGAAGAGGAGATGTTGGATGATCCTATGGAGATTGATTTTGTTAAAAAGGAAGAACCCAATACAAGTATTGCAACTATACCGGTTAAAATCAAGCACTTAAAAATCCCAGCAATGGTAATTAATAGTGGAGCCGAACCTGCAATTATATCAGAAGATATTGTTAAACGTGTAAAATGGCCAATTGATAAGTCAGAAATATATGATCTCAGTGGGGCCGCCACTGTTCCAACAGAATCTATTGGCATTACCCGTAATTTACCAATAACATTTCCTCCAGGTTTCACCATACGTGAAGATTATATAGTTGTGAGGACTCCTAAACCAATATTATTATTTCCAAACCCACACCTTAAAAAATACAAATGTGCTATGGATTGGGCCAAAAATGAGTTAAAAATTCCTTTTAATGGAAAAGACCACATTATCTCTGTAAATATGATCAAGGTCAAGAACAAGCTCGAAGTGAATTGCGCTACTGCAACTCAGGATGATAAGTCTCTAGTATCCAATCAAATTTCTCAGGAGACAGCGGGTTTTAGCTTATTGCAAAGCAATGGGGCCCTACCTCTAGATTCTGTTGACTCGTCACTAAAAAAAAACGCATGAGTTATGAGGAACTGGAAAAATCACTATATACTACTCTCGAGTCTAAGGCTGAAATAAATGATCTTATCAAGAAGTTGCAAATACGTTATGAAAAGCTACTTGAATATATCTCCTCCAGAGATGATAGTATAAATAAAGAAAAGATAAACTAGGTATTGCTATAATTTCTTAGATATTATTCCAGATATTCTTAGAGAACTGGGTCTCATTAAATAGATAACTTAGTAGCTAATAAGCGAGTCAGATTACTTTTATTTTTCTCATCTATTTTAGCTTCCCGCTTACACAATGGAGCAAGATCATCACTACATATTTCTTCTG